GAGTAGGCATGGGGATGACTTTTTTCCAGTGTATCTTCAAAATGTATTGCCTTTAAAACACAGTACCTGTAAACTGAGGAGGAAACATGACAGTTGTTGGTGCCAAGGTCCTCAGAAGCAGCACTACTGAGTGATGAGCTGCTCTCATTTTTCAGGTGAAGTCTGTGAATTTATCTCCCTGGCTTGTTGAGGACCATTTCGATACCACTGTCAAGATGAGTACATACCTCGTGGCCTTCATCATTTCAGATTTCAAATCCATCAGCAAAATAACCAGTCATGGAGTTAAGGTAACTCTGTCTCATTTTCCAAGAGGTTTCTCATGTGTAAGTCTGTATGGATACATTATGGTTTACTTTTCAGTTAAATCATCTGATTTATGTATCTTAATGTTTTACAGGAGAGAAAAAAAAACAGTATTGTAATTGGGTGCTTAGTTTGCATTTTGAGCTTTATTTGTTCCAAAAGCTTTTGGTAAAAGGCTTCCTTGTTACGTACTTAGTGCATTGGTAACGTAGTCTGTTACCAAAGTAAGATTAAGTAAAGGCAAATGAAATACAGTTTTCATGGAGAATCATCACTGCAGTCAGCCTCTGTCAGCTGAATGACTCTGCAGGATTCTGTGTAGGGGCACAGCGGGTCTGGTGGATGAGTTCTAAAAGCTCTCTTCCGAACTGCACTGTGGATTTTCTGCAAATGTTTTAGCAGCTCTGGTATGAGCAGTGTCAGGTGTGCTCCAGTGCCCCTCCTTATGGCCAGTCAAGTGACTGTGCTGAAGAACGACGTCCATAAGCTGGTGGTGCTGTTGCTGATGTGCTGCTGCTCCTCTGCTGCAGATTTCTGTCTACACGGTGCCCGACAAGATCGACCAGGCTCATTACGCCTTGGATGCGGCGGTGAAGCTTTTGGACTTCTATGAGGATTACTTCAGCATTCCATACCCTTTACCTAAACAGGGTAAGTGGGAAACATTAATCTGCTCGAAGACGTGATTAAGCGTAGAGGGTAAAACAGCCCCAAATCAGCAATTTTGAGTGTTAAGGCAGGGCCAAGTTGGGCTCACAGGCTTTTAAACTGGCTGCTTCACAGAATTTGAGGACAGATTGAAAAGCTCCACTGAGAACTGAAAATCCGTGTCTTCTTTATGGAGCTTTTCTTTTAAAAGTTTGTGTGTGATGACATTTAAGAGAGGCCTTAGAAGTATGTGGGAGCAGTCGTGAAGTGGGATGAGTGGCTGGGTGAGTCCTTTATCGAGTGAAATGGCACCACTGCTGTTGTCACTGAACTATTTTTTTTTCTTATTTATTTAATTGTCCTTAACTATGTTTTCTAGATTTAGCAGCTATTCCTGATTTTCAGTCTGGTGCTATGGAAAACTGGGGACTGACCACATACCGGGAATCTGCCTTGTTGTATGACCCCGAAAAGTCCCCGGCGTCTTCTAAACTTTGGATTACCATGGTAATAGCCCATGAGCTGGCTCATCAGGTGAGAGTCGGGGCAAGATATGGAGTTTGAGTGTGCCTGTGGAGGCCTTGGTTTGCTGGATCCTGTGTGGGTAGCGGGGTCTTGGAGACAGAAGCTGAAGAGAGCAGCTGTGGCTCCAGGGTGCTGCTCTGTGAGGGGCGAGGACAGTTTCTGGTGAAGGCTGCAGGGATGCAGACAGCAACGTGTTCAGTTCAGCAGCTCTGGTGCTGCAGGGCCCTCGTGCCACTGTTGGACCTCAAAATTAACTGCAGGCCACCAACATAGGAACCTAAAAGTGTGGAAGTATTAACTGCTTCATGTGGGGCTCTCCTGTGAAAGGTGGCTTCTAGAGGGTTTCCTGGGAGGTGAGTAGAAGGCAGTGTTTTATGGTAGTACCATTTGAAGTGCTGGGGTTGAAGGCCCCAGCCCTGAATGAGGGTGGGCATATGGATGATGTCCCCAACCAGGCAAGAAGGACCCTCCTCATT